TTTTTTTTTTTTTTTTTGGATACCAGGGATCAAACTCATGTCCTTGTGTTTGTGAGGCAGTCGCCAGAACCACTGAGCTAAATCCCCAGCCCAATCTCCATTTTATTAATTTTGTTCAGATCTTAATGAATTATTCCTTTTACTAGATTTAGGTTCTTGTTTCTTCCATACCTTGAGATGCATCATTAGGCTGTTTATTTGATCTTACTCTTTTTTTTCTAATGTAGACATTCATAGCAATAATTTCACCTCATAGGACTGCTTTTATGGTGTCCATTACATTCTGGTACATCGTATTGGCATTATTATTTGATTCTAGGAACTATTTAATTTCTTCCTTAATTTCTTTTGTGACCCATTGATACTCATTTTGTTATTTAATGTCTAGGTTTTTGTAAAATTTCTGTGGTTTGTTTTGCATTGATTTCTAGTTTCAGTGCACTGTGATCTGATAGTATACATGAGACAAATTCGGTTCTTTTGTATTTATTTAAGCAATCTTTATGTGCTAGAATGTGGTCGGTTTTGTAGAAAATTCTATGTCTGATGAGAAGATTATGTATTTTGTTGTGGTAGACACTTTGTAAATATCTATTAAATCCATTTGTTTGATTTATGGTTCATCTGTGATATTTCTTTGTTGACTTTTTTGTCTAGTTGATCTTTTTGTGAAAGTTAGGTATATTGAGGTTTCCCGCTATGATTGTGTTGTTGTTTGATTTGTTTTATGTAGTTGAATGCACCAGTATTTCATATATGTAAAGTTACAATTGTTATCTTTTCATGTTGAATTTTTCCTTAAACTAATATGTAGTGGCTTTCTTCACCTCATTTGATCAGTTTTAGATGTAAGTCTACTGTGAGAAGAATTGCAACTCTGCATGATTTTGGGGTCCTTATGTGTGGAATATTTTTCTCCATCTTTTGACTTTTACTGTATAGATTTCTTCTTGGAGTAGATGTGTCTCTTTGATACAGCAAACCATTGTATTTTGCATTTTGATCCAGTCTGCCAAACTGTCTCTTTTAGTTGGGGAGTTGAGGCCATTTACACTGAGAATCATTATTGAAAGATATTGCCTTATAACTGTAATTGCATTATTTTTCTGTTGATCCCCTTATTTCTCCTTTTTATTTAACTGCTCATACTGTTTAATGTATTCATTCCATCAGACTTTTAGGTATTTTTGGCTTTGTTATCTGTAGGATATTCTTGAGAATTTTTCAGAGTGCTGGTTCGGTGCTTGTAAATTTCTTAAGGGATTCTTTGTCATGGAATGTCTTTATTTGTCCATCAGTTTTGAAAGATAGTTTTGTAGTCTGGGTTGAAAGTTGTTTTCTTTAAGAGCTTGAGACACTTTAGTCCAAGCTCTCCTGGACTTTAAAATTTGTGTTAAAAAGTCTGTTGTAATCCTAACAGGTTTACCTTTTTAAGTGATTTTTTTTGCTTTTCTCTGACAGCTTTTAAGATACTTCCTTGTGTTGACATTTGGGTTTTGACTGTGATGTGTGGTGGGTAATTTCTTCTCTCTTTGTAATTATGCCTCATTTGCCTTTATGTTGAGTTCTTTTCCCGAACTTGGAAAGTTTTTTAATCCTTTTTTAAATGCATTGATTAGTCTGTTTATTAATTCTCCTGTGTTTTGTTGAGATTTCCATTCTCTTCTTGTTTGATCATTTTGTACAGTTCAGACATTGGTGCTTGGTTTCCTCTCCGCTAGTGCCCCTTGCACCTTTGAGGAGTTGGGAGTTTTTGGAGACATTTTGTTGCCTTGTTTCTTGTTTTTTTCATGCTGCTTTTCATTTTTTCTTTGTACTGAGGGTTAAGATCAAATAGAGTGAAGAGATTTTATCATTGGTATGAAACCTCTTTAGTTAGGTTGATTTTCAGTGATGTGATCTTGTCTTTATTTTTCAAGAGGTGTTATTTATCACTTTGAGCTATTCAGTTTAATTGGGTAGACCTAGTCCCTGCTTACCTCTGGGGCTTGATTTGGAGACTCTTACCCTTGCCTTGCCTGCTAGGGAGCCATGATTTGCTCTCTTGTTTTTCTGAGGCAGTGTTGATATATAGACTGGACTGGCCTTGAACTCAAGATCCTCCTGCCTCAGTATCTCCAGTGCTGATATTATAGTCATGTGCTACCATGGTTAGCTAAGTTATGATTTTTACAGACAAATTTGTGTTTAGCTTGGTTTGCTTTGCTTTTAAAAGTAGTTTTCAAGAAAGAAAATATAGAAAATTATTTTTTGTTATTTGTTGTATAAACAGTGCTGTATGAACTAGCAGTGTTAATCTTTTCCTCATTTAATTTTAAAGGCTTTTTTCCATGTCATTTGAACCTTATCTAAAAGAAAATTCCATGAAATGAATTATATCTTTGCTTTTCATTTCTTTGGATTGGTGTACATTGAACCCAGGGCTTTGGTGCATTCTAGGCAAGTGCTCTACCACTAAGTTCTACCTTTCAGACCCTTTAGCTTTCTTCTTCTTGGTGGTTCTAAGGATTAAACTCAGGACCGTGTGCATGCTTGGTTAATGTTCTGCCACTGAGCTTCACTCCCTCCCCTGCTTTTGACTTTTTTTTTTTTTTTGATCTGTTATTGTAACACTTGCTTTTTGTTAAGAAGTAAAACATTACTGTAATAAATCTTACCATTGATAATATATTTTAAATTCAGAAGTGTTATATTATGGGGGAAAGTATAAGACTTTGCACCACAATTAAGTTTATCTATACATTATCGAAATTGATACTTGCTTTTCTTGAAAATGTAGAATAAAGTTTTCACTGTTTTATGTTATCATTATATTATAAGTGGTCTATATGTATTTGTTTTGGGAAAAAATAATTTTTCTTCCAGGTATACATATGAAAATGTAATTTTAAACTATTTTTCCCAAGGTGCTAGGAATCAGACTTAGGCTTTGCGCTTTTTAAGGCAAGCACTCTACCTCTGAGCTACACCTCCAGCCCCAAACATTTCAAAAATGAAGTTTTATTGAACCATTCCTTAATTAACATAAAAATTAATGTTGAATTATAATGCTTCAAACATGTTGCAGATATGATGTAGGAAGTTGTGAACCATTAAAAATTTGTATTGTGTTAGCACATAAGTAATTTAAAATAAAATAAATAAATAAAGCCCAAAGGAATGATGTATATGCCAAAGCATTAAACATCTCTCTTTGGAAATTGTGGGTGGCTTAAATTATTTTTCATAGCAGTAAAAATAAATACATTGTCCTTTTTTCCCTTTTGCTATTTTCTGTTTTTTAAATGAATGCGTATTAATTTTATACTCTGGAAATAATAAAAAAATTTTAGTTGTTAATATTGGATTTGAAAAGAGGATTTTTTTTTCTATTTTTTGGTACCAGGGATCGAACTCAGGTCCTTGCACTTGCAAGGCAGGTGGCAGAACCACTGAGCTAAATCCCTGGCCAAGAGGATATTTTTTAATATAGTTTGTTGCCCTGTTTGCTTAGCACTCATTTTCCACTCTCACAGTGTGAGTGTTTTAAGGTCTATATATATCTTATGTATGATTTAGAAGGGAATAGGCAAATTAATAGAATAGAAAAAAGGATAATATAAATTCTATTCTGAAAACTTTCCCTTTTTCTTTCCATGTACTACTAGAGACACAGTCCAGTAAGTAAGACATTTTATATTTTTGCCTAAGCTTTTTAAAAGAAGTTGGTTGTAATGTTTGAATATTGATTTTCAAGATATTCAAAATCTCATAATGTAGGTTATTAGATTAACTTGTTACAATATGGTACTATAGGTACTGTTTTAACATTTTAGAATGCTTCATTGGATATTAAAGGTACATGTATTATTTTTAAATGTAAAACAAAAGCTACTGAAAGTTTTTTGGTATATTTTATGTAATTTACGATTGAGCAGATATATAAAAACAAAACTAGGTTCTCTCAGTATTTACATTTTACCGAATATTTTATTACCAAATTATTGTTTAATGGTAGTTTTTGCATTTCTGTTTTAGGTACAGATGAATCGAAATTCCTCTAGTAAGTTTGACTCTTGAATTGATTATTTTGTTTATTAAAATGTATGAGGCAATTTGTCAGCCTGATATAATTATAGAAATAAATTATTTTTCATCATTAATAGTTTTTAATAGCTAACTAGGATATTTTCTTTAAACATAAAACAACTTATGTATTTATTTCTTGGAGCAATAACAGGCATACCTAAATTTAATAAACAGCTATAAGAGTATTCAGAAATTAACAAAGCCAAATGTTAAGATGGTATTTGATAAATATCTAAGAATGTTAAAATGTTTCACTGGTGTACTCTGTTGTAGGAGTCAGAAAGCATTTATAAAATGAATAATCTTTAGCTTTACTCATATCACATTTGCAATTTCTATTGTATTATTTTGAAAATAGTTTAATAATACAAAAACTTTTAGAATATTAACACTTTTTGCAGAATTATGCATTAAAAATAATAGTTATTGGAAAAGTAGAGTTAAGACGTACAGCTCAAAAGCTGTGTAAATTTGTAAACAGAATGCCTGAGAAAAAGTATATCAATCTTAATTTAAATTAAAACACTATTTTAAAGACCTATTAAGTTCATAATAGATATCAAATTTAAGATATTTCAGTTAAATATAGCTTGATTATAGGGGTTTTGGGGAAAATGAGTATAAATGGAGACTTCTGAGTTCTGAAGATGAAGGAGGACAAAAATACAGAAAAATGGGAGACTAGTACAATAAGCAACTTGAGGCAGAAGAAACAGCCAAGCCTGGCCAAAGAATGTAGTGTGAATGGGTATGATGGGTATAGCAGGTACTTCTCAGTAGTATGCTGCAATTATCCAGATAGATTTACTTTGTATTTATCAGCTATTTCTTGGTGGTGCATAATATTGGGTACAGGGAAGGTTGCTTATATAACAGCATAACTTTTGAATTACTCATGCTATTATTGTTTCTTACTGCTTATGAATTGGGAAACATAATTGCAAAAGGTTGTAAAACAGACTGTTGATCCAGGTTCCTACAAAAATTTTAATTTTCCAATATAGGATTTTTTCAAGTGTTAATCATAACTTTTGGCCAATATAATAATCATTAATAATATTTTTAGAACTTGAAAAATGTTTTTATGATTCATTAATTAAAATTCTTGAGTAAAGTTTATGTATGTATTTAAACATTTTCTATTTTTTAAGTTATAGCTTATATTTTTCTCCTTTAAACAATAATTTTATTTTAATGAATATTATAGTTTGGTTGATAATGAGTAATTTCTTACCAAAGCTATTGGAAGAAATCAAGATTCAGTAGAAATTCAACTTACATACTTTCTCTTTAATTGTTTATATTAACATTATTACTTCCAGAATTTTCAAATTGTTCACAGCATTGGGGTATGTATGTAGTTTCTTTTTTATTAAAATATTGTTTTTCTCAGATTATGAATTTCCTAATATTTTAATTTCTTAATTAGATGAGGAGTTAACAAAATCAAAGCCATCTGCTCCACTCAATGAGTAAGTTCCATTTTTAAAAATAGACTATATTTTAGAGTGGTTTTAGGTTCAGAGAGAAAGTGAATGGAAGACACAGAGGTATCTCATATTTTTCTAGCCTCCCTGTCAAAATCCCTCAGCAGAGTGGCACACCCCCCCCCCCCCCCCCCACCACCCCGGTACAGGGAATCAAACTTGGTGCTTGCAAGGCAAGCAGCAGAACCACTGAGCTAAATCCCCAGCCAGAGTGGTACATTGTTAAGCTGATGCATCTGCTGTTTGATGCCTTGTAATCACTGGAAGTCTTAGTTTACATTTTGGTTCAGTCTTGACGTTATATTCTGAGTGTTGACAGATATGCAGTGACATGTACCCACCATTATAACATCATGCAGAGTATTTTAACATCCTCTGTCCTCTGTTTATCTCATTGTTTCTGTCACATTTACATTTTAAGTATCCTGCTTTTATCCTTTCTTCCCAGAGAGTTTTCTAGACAATTACCTCTACAATTTCAGTGCTATTAAAATGTTAATCATCCTGTTTTCTAAATTATCAAAAGTCATGTTGGAGTTTTTAGATGTTTTATTTTTCAGTTGATAATATTTTTTACAGTGATCTTTAAGAAATGTATTGAACTGCAGTTGGTCTTGGTGGCCTCAGTGTTTCTAAATAAATGATGACTCAATCTAAATTTATACATGTCTGTATTTCAACTAGTTCACATGGAAATTTTGTTTCTTCCTTCAATTTTGCCTATGACTTTATAAAATAGACTGTATATCATGAGATTCAGCATGAGGAAGTGTCAAAAAATGAAAAGGCAAAGGTCCAGATGGCATGTTGCCAGCTCATAAAATGAATAAAAAATGTTAAACTAATGTTGCGTAAGTCCCCTATGATTTTTCTATTTGTAAGAGTACTTTTGAGTTCATGTTTCTTAGATAAATAAAATGTACTCAATTGAGTAGCTTTGCAGGATAACTTGTTTAGCATTTAAAAATTTAATGTTAGATTTTTATCATACAATATATAGTGTGCATAGGTAAGTGTTCAGATACTAGATAGGTACTTTTAGAAAATATAATATTTTCAGTATGGTAAGCTTGCTTCCAATTTAAGATTTAAGATATTTTAAAAAATAATGGCAGCTTTAATATATTAAAATATTCTATCTTTCTGTACTTAAGACTTTTTAAAAAAATCTTTTACCCTTCTCCATCTTTGAAATAAATGTGGCTTTGCAAAATCTTAATGGATTTCACTTCACTTTTCTGTCAGAGCCTCCACACTGTGTGTGACTCAGCAGAGCTGATGCTGTTTGGAATCAATTTAGCTATGTGTCTTTGGACAGCTTATTTAGATTCTTTGTGCTGCTTTCTTTCATTTTGACAGTACCCCAACGTTGTTAGAATCTAAACAAATATGATATAGGGAATAATTCCCCACTCTCCCCTACCACTATATACATCATATAGTGTTATTTTAGGTTTTGCTAAAGTCTGTTAAATTGTTTTACATAAACCATTGGCAGTATACCCAGTGTTTTAATCATGTATCTAAGCTGTTAGAATTCTGTGAAATAAAAATAGGTGATTAGATTTTTTACTAATAAAATATTCTTTTGTTAAAATTCTTTTTTTAATGGCATAGTAGAAAAGGGACCAGTGATTTACTTGCTTGGGACCCCCTGTTTGGACCATCTCTTGATCCGTCATCTTCTTCTTTACTAACTTTGTCATCAGGTAAATGCATATATATATATTTTTTTTTTAACTTGGGGGTTATAGTAGTTACTTTTTTTCTAATTGATTTATTCACCACTTCTGTATTGGATTTAATGATATAAAACTTTTTTAAACTTGTCCTCTAATCATACTGGCAGATAAAAATAATTTTATACTGGCTTTGTTAGTTGGAAGACTCCTGGGCTTAAATAATAAAACATCATCAAATACCAACAGGGTTAAAAAATTGATGTTTTTAATCTTGTCATTATTTCATATCATTACCCAAATAATAATTCTGTTTGTTTATAGATACTTCACATGCATAGAGGCATTAATGTAACTGGTCCTTTCTTGATGAGCATTCAAGTTCCGTTTTATTTTCCACTGTGTATATTAGTGGAAATAACACATTTTGTGTACATCTCATAATATCCTTGTGATGATGATCAACATAAAATCAGTGGTCACCAGATAATGTTCATTGACACTTTTTGTGAAACTGCTTTTCACAAAGGATTTAACACTTCCTAAGCAATATATGAAAGAATTTGATGAATGCTTTTTAGTTTTCATGTTGGCAAAAATGATTGTTTCTCTCTTCTTCAAAATATACAATTCCCATAAGCCAAAAGTCAAAGCAGGCATCAAAAATGCATGTTACATTTTAAAGAAATCACTTTATGCTGAATTTCTCTTCTCATTTCTGGGATTTTGAATTGCCCAATTAAAAGGATATTGGAATCTTAGGGATACAACTTAATTTGTTGTGATCATGCTAGGTCAGTCTGCTAGGAGTTATTCATTCTGTTTAATTTTATCACATTAACATCTGTATGAAGTCCTTTTTATTGTTCCTATTTAATAGATGAAAATTTAAAATAGCTTAGATAATAAATAACTTTCCAAGATTGTATAGGAACGAAATGAGGAGATTCAGCTTGTATTTTACTCATTCTAAAACCATTGTTCTATATGTCACACTCCAGCAGATTGACAACAGCAAAAAGCTAAGCTGAAGCATTTTACAATTAATAATAAGATATTTATATTTTAAAATAGGCTGTTTAGAGAGTATGTTAAAAAGAAACTACAAGTACCTTATGTATCTTAGCTCTAAAAGGTATTTGGAAAGTGGGGAGTGTGATCTGTACCTGGTATTTGAAAAACAGGAAAAAACCATCAATTGATGAATGTATTTTGAAGTAACATTATATAGTCTTTCTCAGTAGGTATCTGTTCCTATTTAGTGTTATAAAACTAACTTTACAAATGTGTAAGGGAAGTAATTACATGTTTAGCAAAAATATCAGAATAATGAATGTATTTATGATAGTCCTAAGCAGTGTGTTGTGTGTGTGTGTGTGTGTGTGTGTGTGTGTGTGTGTGTCTCTGTGTCCGTTGTGTGTTTGTGTATTAGTTACTGGGGATTGAACCCAGGGCCTCACACATGCTAGGCAAGGTACATAGCACTGAGCTATACCCCCAACTCACTTTTTAATTTTTTTATTTTTTTGAGACAGGGTGTTACCAAGTTGGCTCAGCTAGCCATATACTTGTGAACCTCTTGCCTCAGCCTCCTGGAGCTGGGATTACAGGCACTCTATCTCCATGCCCAGCTCTAAGCAGTACTTAAAAATTTTGTTAACCTCCTTTTATGAATTATTTCTTAAAAAATCTTTAATTAAAAATTTCAAATTTGTATCATAGAGACTTTAGTTAAGTTTCTTCATAATGCTGCTCATTGTTTCTTGTTTTTTTTAGTATAATCTCTTGTTTAAAAAAATTCTTCCTTGGGCTGGGGATTTAGCTCAGTGATTCTGCCACCTGCCTCAAAAGCTTAAGGACCAGAGTTTGATCCCCGGTACCAAAAAAAAAAAGTTCTTCTTTTTACCCATCTAAACAGTACTTTATACATATAACCTTCACTTGAGGTAAAAAGTTTATTTTTATCATTTGATGTTTAGTAGCTTGGAAATGATAAATTTATTAGCATTTTGCTAGTTGTGTTTTTTAATGTACTTTTTTGTTGCTGTTGGTTATTTTGTTTTGTTTTCTGTTTTTTGAGACAACATCTCACTGTGTAGTTCAGGCTGGCCTTGAACTTACAGCAATCCTTCTGCCTCAACTTCCCAAATGGTGGGATTACAAAAGTAATTTTTTTTGTGTGACAAAGTTGCTATATAGTTGAGGCTGGCCTTGAACTCACTATGTATCCCAGGCTGGCCTCAAACTCAATAGGAATCCTCTTGTCATAGCCTCCCAGGTGGCTGGGATTATAGATGTGCACTACTGTGCCTGGCTGCTGGTTGTGTTTTAAACCTTCCTATATTATAAGAAAAATAATAATTAGTTATTTTGTGCTTCAAAATATGTTAGTGATACAAAAAAAAAAAAGATAAGCTGAAGATGCTAAGTAGAACAATATTTACTACTAGTATGTGCTAGGCCTTTGGTTAAATCCCCAGTTCTCCCCAATAAAAAGATATCATGAAGAGATTTAGGGAAAAAAGAGATTATTATTATTAAGCCTTCACTTGAATGCAGTATAATTACTGGTCAGGCTGACCAATACATTATTGTGACTCTATTATTTTACAAGCTGGCCCTAAAATTATGAAGTGCACATTTTGTCTCAAATTTTGTTCCACCAGTTTTTGCATTGCATGTCTCCCCCATCTTAACATCCTCTGCTCAGTTACCCATTTTCACATTTTAGCAAGGTCCAGGTTGTGAGATTATCCCCTACTCTCCTTTCAGAATCTTAATTCTGTCAGTTAATAAAGTTCAAAAGATTGCTTAGAGCTTGGTTGAGAAGTAGTTTCTGTTGCATCTTATGCCACAGAGACTATATAAGCACATATTTATTTTAAACCTGACAAACATTTGTGTATTTTTAAAATGTAATATACCTACCTCATACCTACCTTACCTTTAATAAGTGCCCTCTAGAACATTTTGTTCTGTGCCCATAGACTGAGTTCTTGTGCTCTTATAAGACCCTTTAAAATTACCTTTTAAAATTATTAAGCTCATTTTAGTAATTCCAATGCTGATTTTCTCCAAGGAACTTCCTCTGTCAGTTTTATCACTGGTCAGGAATTTTATTGAGTTCCATATATACACTGCATTATAACTTTGTCATCTTCTCAAATCTTTGTAGACATGGTTCTTACTGTCACAGTTAGTTACCTTATTCCTCTGGAAAAACAGGAATAATCACTTTATATAGTTTCTGAACCTTCAACTTTATATAAATAAATATGGACTTCATTTTTTCATATACATTGTTTCTTATGTTTGTACTTGTTTTCCTCAGTTAGTATAAAGTTTGAGGATGTAGCTCAGTTGTAGGGCACTTGCCAAACATGAATGATGTCCTAGGTCCCAACTCTCCATTAAAAAAAAAAAAAAGTTTTCAGCTCTTGCTTTTCCATGTATTATTTTTTTCTAGTTTCAGGTAATTAAAATAATATTAAACTGAAATAAAGGAACTATTTGACTATGTAGATACACATTTTAGTTACCACCATCATTGCTTTTGGAATCTAGATTAGTCTGTGCTTTGTTCAGGTAAAGAGTGATATTACAAATGTGTTATCTTTCCTCTTAGGTAGTATCTATGGGCAGAAACAGATTAGCTCTTATAACCTATGTTTTTATACTTTATAGGGCATTTCCTATTTCTTGAAACACTTCAAGACATTTGTAGCAGTGAGCTCCACTACCAGAAAAAAACAAAATATACTAGAACACCTAAGAATGTAATCGTAGGCAGCTGGTGTTGTGGTGTACACCTGTAATCCTAGCACTCAGGAGACTGAGGCAGGAGGATTACTGCGAGCTCGAGACCAGCCTGGGCTACACAGTGAGTTCCAGAGCAGTCTGAACTACATAGTGAGACCCTGTCTCAAAAAAAAGAAAAAGAAAAAAGAAAAAAAAAGAATGTAATCATTGGGCCAGGGATTTAGCTCAGTGGTGCTTCCACTTGCCTTACAAGTGCAAGGTCCTGAATTTACGAATAAATTTTTTTTTTTTGGTACTGGGGTTCAAACTCAGGTCCTTGCAGTTGCAAGGCAGGCGACAGAACCATTGAGCTGAATCCCCAGCCTTACTAATAATTTTTTTAATTTATAAAAAGAATGTAAACCATTACAGTAGTCTACTCTAGAGGCTTAGAGAAGCAGTGTTCATGTATAATATCTCATCATGTGATATGGTTTTCTTTCTTCCTTTTTTTTTTTTTTTTATTTCTT